TTCAAACTGTTAACCAACCAAATGCTTACATCACTGAATTGATTTCTCAAGAGCTCCAATGTACAAAACCAACCTGTACATTTCTGTTTGTCCAGCATAATTCCCCTGAAGACAACAGTAACTTAACAGAACATAGTCCCGGCCTTTTACTCTAAAAAAATTGCGTCTCATTAGTGCCATGTATTTAAAAGACTGGAAGAAGAGAAGCAACAGGAGGTTATTGGTTCTAATTCTGACCTGTATCAAGATCTCCAATCACATATATGCTGGCTCCAATGGGCACAGCTCCGTACACGAAGGAAGAACTAGTTGGGATACATAGGTTCTGGTCATTTAGATAAATCCACCTGTAAAAATAATAATAAAAAAAAAAACCTGGGATGCAATTTCTGTTGAGCACATTATAAGAATTCCAGGTTCTTTTTGCAGCCGCCATCTTTGAATCAAAAGCAGAGTGTACAAGTTTATTTGTTATGTAAAAACTGTTGGGAACATTTGTCTAGTTCAGGACAGCCTTGGCTTTTCCTAGCCAGGAAAAGCAATTGGTACTGCTGTTTGGGAAGCTCGGGATACTTTATCCTGAAGTCACTTTATTTCAGAATTGCTCCACTCATCTGTGTATTCTATCTGGAATAAACCCTTCTTGCAGCCACCCAGCGTGACCTCCTGGAAGAGAGCAGACATATAAGAGAGCCTCCTCTACAACAGCTACGCCAGTCAATTTTACCTACAGAGAATATCTTAGGCAGCTTTGTCTTAAAATCAGTTGAGTCACAAAAGCATATAAGTCTTAATAACTAGGGGAAGTAACAAATTGCTATATAGCGAGGCCTCATTAAGCAGTGCTTCCCCCATGTAATTCCCTAACTTCTTTAATTGTATTTTATCAGCGACAAGAAATCCCCAGTCCCGTAAGAAGAATGCAGCATTTGGCAATGCTTAACTTCAAACAAGGGACAGAAGACTGGAAATCACAATGGTAAGGGATTTTGGGAAAGAAAAGAAATGTCCATTACCTGGAATTGAAACAGACCTTGCGATCACATATCAGGCTCTTTTCAATCATTTTCCAGCTCCTACTATCATCTTATGAGTCCCCTATGTTCACTTTAAGCGTGTTCTCATTTCAACACTACATCAGCCTGATCTTTCCACCCGGTGAAAAGCAGTTTTCCATGTTGAAGCCTTTGGAAACCAGGTGAGTACGTACTCATCGCCCGCGGGGGACACGGGCTTATAAAGATGCCCCATTTATCCAGAGTTGTCAGCGTCCCCTCTATGGTTCTGAAACAAATTTCTACAAAACGCTGCTGCACTTCTGCAGATGCTGTCACAGTTACTATTTATAGACCCCGAAGACATACAAATCAATGCTATTTTAGATGACTACTCCTAGATCTTTTATTAAATAATTTACAGACAACAGGAAAGTTTGAAAAACCTTTGAAAAGCATCCTGTATATTTTCATGGCCGAACCTGGTTAATTTGAGGGGAAAAAGTTCGGAAATATCCTCACGGATACCGCTGACCTTTGAAAATTCTGCATTATCTTAGCTCGTGATTCAGAAGTAAGCCTTCTGGCACTGAAGGAGAGGCTGCTACGTATCAATTATCTTGGAGAGAGAGATCAATTTTTAAAGGCCAAATGAAAGGATTAGCTGTCCATTATATCGTCTGCCCTATACACTGAAGGATTAAGATTCTGCAGAAAGCAAGGGAAAGCTTTGTAGCTGTCACGGAGGATGACAGATGAACTAAGAACACAGAAAAGGAGAAGTCCTCTACACCGATTCAGAAACTCTGTTACAGAGCAAAACACTTTTCATCGCATTTCCTTAGCTTCCCTTCCTTACTGTGGGAAGAGGACGCAGTCAGTATTTTCGCTGCTTTTTAGCACCAAGTTACCTAAAAATACAAAACCTGAATATGTTGCAGAGGAATGCAGGGGGAAGACTCCAATTTCTGTCTTTTTTTTTTTTTTTTTCTTTTTTTAATAATAAGTATAGGACCATGTTAAAAAAGGGAAAAAACCAAAGTTAGATGAGTTTAGTCTAGCTACTGATCAAGTTTGAGCTTGGAAAACATGTGAACTTCAGAGGTTTGTCTGCACTAGATATTCAAGGTTTTGGGGTTTAAATAAAAAAAAACAAAACAAAACAAAACACACAATGGTGTGGGACCCAAGCATTTTCCTACTGCACATCAAGACAGGACAATATTAAAGTATCTGTAGTTGCTTGTGAAAATTCATTCTCAACCTTTCTCAATGCGTGTACTTTAAAAAACAGGCACAACTTTTCAGGAACCCTTACAGCAGCTTTAGCGGTTAAAACGAGGAAGGAACAAAGGCAGGAAGGGCAAGGGGTCACGTTTCATCAGAATTTGACTAAGCTCCAGCTTAATGTGGGTTGTGCCTGCTGTTTGCACAGTATGGAAAAAACACCATGACAAAAAATTCACAGTCTTCAAGAATTTGAAAGCGCTCCTTGGGAGAGAAGTCCTGCGTGCTTCCCTGGGATGGCCCTACTCAAACCGAATGCGAGAGTAGCAGGGGAGAAGGCACGTACCTCTGCAACCACAGACAGAAAGGGCTGCTCTGGAACCCAGATATGCTTCCACTCAAAATAAAAAAAGGGGAAGCAATCCTGATTTTTTTTCAGACTTAAAGCGATATCAACAACAAAAAAACATCCATCCATACTGCTGTAATTAATAAGCAGGATGGTAACTGTTTGACTTCCAAGTGGGAAGTAAACAGAGATGTGATACAGAACCAGCAGATTCCAGACACATCACCTCAAGCTCACACCGGCTGCGAAAGGATGCCTACAAATGAATGAAGATCTCCTCCGTGTTCCTCTCATCCGACAGCGCTATCAGTCAGCCAGTTAGTTTTCTCATTACATTTGCATAAACACTTTCTTTTAATGAAATTCCAGCATGCTAAATAGGACAATCTTCCTAATTACACATACTACGTTACAAGATTATTTAGTTTACTGCTTACATACTGCTGGAAGCATTTCCTTATTTTTATGATGTTCCAGCAGCAAAAAGAATATTTTAAGGAGTTTTTACCAAGTATCGCTTCTGAACAAGTATCTCTCACTTTCATCCCCCTCAAGACCTGCGAATTTTGATAATGCTTTTGAACTAGGAGCTCATGAAAAGAAGTCTGTAAGCGGGTAGGCTTGCTTCCCACCCGTGGAAGGCAGCAGCAGCTATACTCGGGGACAGAGCTCCACCAGCAGCCCTTGCAAAGAATCCTAAAGCCAGTTTGTGCTCTGTGAAATACTTCCGAATACGCACACCGAAAAGAAAAAAACCCAGTGTGCACAGACATCATCCAATTCTCCACACACCTACAGGATGCAAAAAGGCATATTATAAATTACGAACTCTGGCAGAAGGAAAGACTGACCCGTCAAGGTCTCTAACATTAAGATTTCTTGCTTTTTATGGAGTAGACTAACGCTGCATCATTGAGCAAAGGATACCCTTACATCTCCATCTCCCACTTTCACATTCTTTTAAATCTATTTTTAGCTTGATCAATACTTTTAAAAAAAAAACAGGATACAATGCACACAAAGCTCAATCTATAGCCTTTGGAAAAAAAAAAAAATCTACATCCTGAAAAAACCTGCAGTCTGCCGTACATATTTTCTATCCTCGGTTCACTTAAATTCCACTCATGGACATGACTCTAGAGACAGGCTACCAAAACATTTATTAATTGAAAAATCTCAGTTACAGAAGTACTTCAAATATGAGAATTATTTTCTACATTATCCTGTCCACATTTCATGTGTATGCTACTATTCTGTCTCACTTCATTTATTTTATTACTTGTTTACACAGTATAGCTTAACAGGAGTCTCAATTTTTATTTTTTTGCTAGTGTGAGATCTCAGCATACTCCTGGTCTTTAGAAAAGTCTGCGTCATGATGAAAAATAACAGTTTTGAAAGACTGTGCACTGTGAGCTATTCTGGAGTAAATTACTGTCAAAGTAAACAATATTAGACAAGTTAAACTTCAGTCCTTTAATCCAATTCAAGCCAGAATTATGCCAGTTTATATGAATTAATATGTTTTTATACTGATGTAAGTACATCACTTAGACATATACACTAAGTAAAACCCATAACTCAGATCCTCATGGACTCTGGATGCCCAGGATGATGCTAGACCCTGTATTCTCAGGTAAACAGAGCCGAGGCAGATGAAAAACGACGCAGAACACACACGTGTGCATTGCTGCACGTACCTGTAAACCAGCAATATCCGATGGCTGAACTCACAGTACAAAAAATTCTTTCCATTCAAAAAGAAAGTGCACATGATGGAGTTCTGCACTTACTTAAAAACAGCTGGAAAAGTCTGCAGCTCATTATGAAGCATGCAATACTGCTATGTAACCATTAAAAACACACTATGAATTTTGGTTTGAGACTGCTAGAATTTATAAACTGTGCTTTTGACCCACTGCCGCTAAATGATCTTGCAAACATGTTCCTCCTTTCCACAAATCTCTCTTAACCCAACACTTTTGGGACTTCTGTCAATAATATACACGTACGCTGTCGATGTGGTATTGCAGCTCTGACAGTTCCAGTATTATTCCTTCACTGTCACTACAAAAAGAATATGCGCTGTAGAGTCTGAAGGTGCTTACATCCTTCATGATGACTTTTGGAAGCTGCTGGTTTGAAGGGGACTGACTACCTTTATTTGTTTCAGAAACTATTACTGAGGACATAAACACACTTAACAGTTATAAATTAATCACTCTCCTGATCCCCTGGGGAGCTTCTCTAATCCAGCAGTGATGGCACTGGCTTGCTTTTTTTTTTTTTTTTTCTTTTTTTAATAATAAGTATAGGACCATGTTAAAAAAGGGAAAAAACCAAAGTTAGATGAGTTTAGTCTAGCTACTGATCAAGTTTGAGCTTGGAAAACATGTGAACTTCAGAGGTTTGTCTGCACTAGATATTCAAGGTTTTGGGGTTTAAATAAAAAAAAACAAAACAAAACACACAATGGTGTGGGACCCAAGCATTTTCCTACTGCACATCAAGACAGGACAATATTAAAGTATCTGTAGTTGCTTGTGAAAATTCATTCTCAACCTTTCTCAATGCGTGTACTTTAAAAAACAGGCACAACTTTTCAGGAACCCTTACAGCAGCTTTAGCGGTTAAAACGAGGAAGGAACAAAGGCAGGAAGGGCAAGGGGTCACGTTTCATCAGAATTTGACTAAGCTCCAGCTTAATGTGGGTTGTGCCTGCTGTTTGCACAGTATGGAAAAAACACCATGACAAAAAATTCACAGTCTTCAAGAATTTGAAAGCGCTCCTTGGGAGAGAAGTCCTGCGTGCTTCCCTGGGATGGCCCTACTCAAACCGAATGCGAGAGTAGCAGGGGAGAAGGCACGTACCTCTGCAACCACAGACAGAAAGGGCTGCTCTGGAACCCAGATATGCTTCCACTCAAAATAAAAAAAGGGGAAGCAATCCTGATTTTTTTTCAGACTTAAAGCGATATCAACAACAAAAAAACATCCATCCATACTGCTGTAATTAATAAGCAGGATGGTAACTGTTTGACTTCCAAGTGGGAAGTAAACAGAGATGTGATACAGAACCAGCAGATTCCAGACACATCACCTCAAGCTCACACCGGCTGCGAAAGGATGCCTACAAATGAATGAAGATCTCCTCCGTGTTCCTCTCATCCGACAGCGCTATCAGTCAGCCAGTTAGTTTTCTCATTACATTTGCATAAACACTTTCTTTTAATGAAATTCCAGCATGCTAAATAGGACAATCTTCCTAATTACACATACTACGTTACAAGATTATTTAGTTTACTGCTTACATACTGCTGGAAGCATTTCCTTATTTTTATGATGTTCCAGCAGCAAAAAGAATATTTTAAGGAGTTTTTACCAAGTATCGCTTCTGAACAAGTATCTCTCACTTTCATCCCCCTCAAGACCTGCGAATTTTGATAATGCTTTTGAACTAGGAGCTCATGAAAAGAAGTCTGTAAGCGGGTAGGCTTGCTTCCCACCCGTGGAAGGCAGCAGCAGCTATACTCGGGGACAGAGCTCCACCAGCAGCCCTTGCAAAGAATCCTAAAGCCAGTTTGTGCTCTGTGAAATACTTCCGAATACGCACACCGAAAAGAAAAAAACCCAGTGTGCACAGACATCATCCAATTCTCCACACACCTACAGGATGCAAAAAGGCATATTATAAATTACGAACTCTGGCAGAAGGAAAGACTGACCCGTCAAGGTCTCTAACATTAAGATTTCTTGCTTTTTATGGAGTAGACTAACGCTGCATCATTGAGCAAAGGATACCCTTACATCTCCATCTCCCACTTTCACATTCTTTTAAATCTATTTTTAGCTTGATCAATACTTTTAAAAAAAAACAGGATACAATGCACACAAAGCTCAATCTATAGCCTTTGGAAAAAAAAAAAAATCTACATCCTGAAAAAACCTGCAGTCTGCCGTACATATTTTCTATCCTCGGTTCACTTAAATTCCACTCATGGACATGACTCTAGAGACAGGCTACCAAAACATTTATTAATTGAAAAATCTCAGTTACAGAAGTACTTCAAATATGAGAATTATTTTCTACATTATCCTGTCCACATTTCATGTGTATGCTACTATTCTGTCTCACTTCATTTATTTTATTACTTGTTTACACAGTATAGCTTAACAGGAGTCTCAATTTTTATTTTTTTGCTAGTGTGAGATCTCAGCATACTCCTGGTCTTTAGAAAAGTCTGCGTCATGATGAAAAATAACAATTTTGAAAGACTGTGCACTGTGAGCTATTCTGGAGTAAATTACTGTCAAAGTAAACAATATTAGACAAGTTAAACTTCAGTCCTTTAATCCAATTCAAGCCAGAATTATGCCAGTTTATATGAATTAATATGTTTTTATACTGATGTAAGTACATCACTTAGACATATACACTAAGTAAAACCCATAACTCAGATCCTCATGGACTCTGGATGCCCAGGATGATGCTAGACCCTGTATTCTCAGGTAAACAGAGCCGAGGCAGATGAAAAACGACGCAGAACACACACGTGTGCATTGCTGCACGTACCTGTAAACCAGCAATATCCGATGGCTGAACTCACAGTACAAAAAATTCTTTCCATTCAAAAAGAAAGTGCACATGATGGAGTTCTGCACTTACTTAAAAACAGCTGGAAAAGTCTGCAGCTCATTATGAAGCATGCAATACTGCTATGTAACCATTAAAAACACACTATGAATTTTGGTTTGAGACTGCTAGAATTTATAAACTGTGCTTTTGACCCACTGCCGCTAAATGATCTTGCAAACATGTTCCTCCTTTCCACAAATCTCTCTTAACCCAACACTTTTGGGACTTCTGTCAATAATATACACGTACGCTGTCGATGTGGTATTGCAGCTCTGACAGTTCCAGTATTATTCCTTCACTGTCACTACAAAAAGAATATGCGCTGTAGAGTCTGAAGGTGCTTACATCCTTCATGATGACTTTTGGAAGCTGCTGGTTTGAAGGGGACTGACTACCTTTATTTGTTTCAGAAACTATTACTGAGGACATAAACACACTTAACAGTTATAAATTAATCACCCTGTAGCAGCTGCATAATGTTTAAGATGAAGAATCGGTCTTTGTGTATATGACATTAACTAGGCACTAAGGAACTGAGAGAGAGAGATTGTCCACCTGTGGTAAAATCTGTAGCATCACTTATGCTTTATTCTTGAGTAACGATGCACAGCAGTGCATACGATGCCCAGTGCAAGTGGAACTGCTTAACTAATCAAAACACACACGTAGGTATTTAGCATAAAGTTTTCACAGACTTAAGAGAAGCATCTTATTTAAGCTTTCATCCTTTACTCAAAATAAAGCGATTTAGATTTGTCTTCTGTTATTTCTGAATCAGCCCAGGAAATAACACCCTCGTGTTTTCCAGAGAGTCAACTTGCCTTCATTTGGTATTCATTTGATATTTGTGAAACACTATTGTAATGAAATTATGCTAATTTTCCAGATTAAATCTTACTTCAAAGAACAGTACCAGACAACAAAGTATTTTGTCTCAGTATTTGGCAGGCAGAAATATTTGCTAACTGGGTTTTGAAGGGAAGTCCCTTTGTGGCCATTTTCTCTCTTTTCCACTCAGGTACAACTGCTGGGGTCTCACAGTCACTGCCACAGCCGCCCTGGAAGGCAACCATCCCGCACAGCACTCCGAGGGTACCGAAATTCGGGGTGACTGTTAGACCCCGCGAGCTGGCGTGCCAGAACGTAAGGCAGTAACGCTGCACCCTCTTCTGGCCAGTGACACCCCTTCTGCCTGCCTGGGCTGGAGCCGCCGGCCTGCCGAGAGGGAGAGCAGAGGCACCAACCCCAGCCAGCAGCACCAGAAGCAGAAGTGGCCATCGTCCCGCCCTTCGCTGGCCCTCCGTTTCCAAAGGAAAACGGACAGCCTGTGAACCGCCTAAAGTGCCCGCGCAAATTTGTGCTGAGTTAAATTTCCAAGCTCAAATTCTGTGCAGCGGCAGAGCAGAAAGGCAAAGTCTGAATATCTCCGCAGCCCTCAACACATGCCTCCTCCAGCAGCTCGAGACTCGGGTTACTTGCTGCTGCCTCGCCTTCCTCCGCGCCAGCACAGCCCTCATGCCCCGCACGGGGTACTAGAATAAGGCCCGAAGCAACTGGGTTTTTGTTATATTTTTACTTGAATCCTGTAACACCTCTGGGGTGCCACCGAGCAAAGAGGCAAATCCACAGGTTAGAAATACTGCCGGCAGGCCTCGGTGCTGCAGTCAGCAGGTGGCACCAGGGACTCGCCCGCCGCACCTCTGCTGGAACCTCCGAGATTGCTCAAACTCCTCTTTCTGAAAGCTCAGTCTGTATCAACCAGTGAAACAGGTTTAGAGTGGCTGGTGCGGAATCATGAGCTATTACATACCACCTTTTGAAGAACAGAATCAGCCTGGAAGTATTTCAGGCAAATCAACTAAAAAGAGCAAGCAGGAGATAAGGGAGCACTTCTTTCCAGAATTCTTTCCCTTTCAAAGACCTCTTGCCAAAAAGTTAATCAGCTTTTAGCATTTCCCCACACCCCCATAGGGCTAGAAAACGCTAGAGAGCATCAGCAGCAATAGCCTTTCTTATCTGTCTGCTTCCTATAACCACTTTAAACAGTGGGTTTTCTCCAGCTTCATTTGATTAGATTTAGTTTGGGCATCACTTTGAACACCACAGAAGACCTCTTCATACAGAAATTAAAGTCACTCTATATCTACATCTTGCAAGAAAATTATATAATGAACTTACATCTACTATTCTATTTTTTTGTGCTTTTATACAGGTCACATCATAAATCAGCCTTGACTTGTAATACAGACGTATTAATCTCCTCCACTGTCAACAAGCCTTGAAACATCTGACCACAAAGTCTTATTTCAATTTAGTTTATAAAAAAGACAATCATCCAATTTATGGTTATGTGCAAGAAAAAAAAAACCACTGGAGGAACCAAAGCTTGTCAGTTATGACTGGAGAATAAGGTGACTATACGCAGAATTCTGTCTAACATAACATTTTGAGTAGTTACCACATGTAGTTAGGTGGATTCCGATACCAGAGCCAAGAGATAACAGATTAAGTCATCAGAAGCAGATTCAAAACAAACAAAAGGAGATTAGCCACACACAGTGTGTCAAAGTGGCTGTGGAATGTATAGCATCCACAGTGTCTTTCCTATGGCAAAAGCCTGCATGGGTTTAAAAAGCAATCAGCTATAAACGCTTGGAACAAAAATGCATTAAATTTCGTATCTCCAGCTTAGGAATTCCCTAAGCTGCAAATCCCTGGAGATAGGACTGGATCATGGAGAAGTACCCCTGTACATAGTCACGCTCCTCCATGAGCGCTCGCAAGCAGCCTAGGGCATGAGCACGGGGGGCAGCAGTACCCTGCACGTGGGGAAATCCCGGAGTGCAGGGGAAGAACCAGGCAAACTACCCGTGTGATCAAGGCATTTCTCCTGTTCAGAGGCACACAAGACTGACATGGTGGCCCAGGGCTTTAGGCTTGGCATCTTAGAGGGACAAGCCACTGAAGCAGATGGACATTTGGTAACAGCCATACTGGATCATAAAAGGCAAAATGAGTAACAGAGACACATGGGAAAGATCTAATATGCTTTGAAGTGCTGGAGCAACGGAGTGGGGAACAGACAGGTGAGTGTGGAAGGCATGTATTTTCTACGTTTATAGCTACAGCTAGTTACCTTTTGAACTCATCATGATAAAATTCAGATTTGCATGTCACCATCTCACTGGCTTGACTGTCGTCACGACTCCTGACCCCACCAAACACATAAAGCTCAGAGGCAACTCCACAGGCCACTGCCCCAAATCTGAGAATCCAAATAAGAAAAAAAAAAATAAATGCAACACATCAAAACCATTTCATATATCCTTCTGAACTTTCTCAAATTTTTTTTTACTTTTTTAAAAATTTATATACACACCCCCCTTATATGTTCAACAAGATTACATGAGTCATTAATATGAATTGTAAGCACTTAATTCAGACCACGTAAAAGAACAAAACAGCGCAGTATTTCTCTCTGGTCAAAATCTGAAGTTCCAATTGAACTAAATCTCTGGTTTTCATTTTGCATCAGGGTAGCATTAATTGTAACATCAGGAGTGTATTTCTACAAAATTCGTATTTGTTGTTTGGATGCTTATCTTTAAGGCTTAACTACAGGCCACCATGATTCAGAAAGACATGGTGAAATCCATAGAGCCTCTGACAGCCATCTTCAGGGATCCATCAGAGGAAGGACAACTTCCTCTCATCGGAGCGTTAAAAGAGGTTGTACACAGCAATCTATTTCCCCCCTTCCATTTTCACTCACCTTCTCTCTTTCAGAGGACAGATTGCTGTCCACTGCTGAGTCCTAGGGTCATAACACTCAACAGACTCAAAGAGTTTTCCATAAGAGCCTCCACCCATTGCATAGATTTTCTTCTTCATAGCTGCATAGCAGCCAATCTTGTGGAAAAAAGAAAAAGTACATCGAAAATCACACACAAATGCACAGTATCGAGAGCTCAAAACTAACTATATAAGCATACACACACCTGTGTATTTGGGTTGCCTGTTACACGTGTCAAACAACGCTGTGCATAAAAATTCTCAGCCACAGTTTTGTTTTGGTATATAAATAAAGAGCTGCTCTCCCTCATTTCATTTTGAGAGTATTTGTTACAGCTTCTACTTGAAGCAAAAGGTTGAAGTATATATATATATATATATATATTTCATGTTGGCATCACCTATTTAACAATAAGTAATGCGGTAACATATGATGTAGTTCTTACCTTTCTAACCATGGTCAAGTCTGGCTGCTTGGTCCAGGTCCGGCTATAAATATCATAGCTCTCCATAGAGATTAGCTCCCTTTCACCGTCCTCACCTCCCAGAATATACAGAATTCCATCAATCTCTACCACACCAAAATTATGTCGTGCCTAAGGAATATCAAAAAGTCAACATTGTAAAACATAATGCCATTGTGAATAAATCAATACAATCTTTTCTTCAACATATCTGCCTACAAAGTGATATTGGTATTATGCCTGGGTTTTGTGGGGTTTGTTTGTTTGTTTTTAAATGGTGAAGTCCTAAACTCCAGAATAAGTTTATTAATTTATTCAACTAAACAAAAGGTATTCAAAAAAGACAGAGCAGCAAAAGCCAAAGAGACCGCACAGAAATCTAAGAACAAAGCTTGGCTGTATTTCAGTTTGCGTAGTAGTGGCCTCCACGATGAAGCTGTTGCTTGCAGGTCTCTACAGCAGCGAAACATTATCTGTGAGAAGGCCGCTCTTCTATTTTGTATGCGGGAGCAGAGCTACCCTCAGTCCCACAGTAAAGAGGAAACATAATGTGTATCATAAAGTCTTACTCACAGTAAGCAGGAAACTTAATACATCGTAACTACAAATGCGGCCAAAACTACAGGCCCTTGCCAACCAGAGACCGTAATGAGGGAAATCCTGTGGCAAACAACAATTTCTTAATAAACACCCTATGCTGATTTAAGAAGATAAAAACACAGGTGCATTAAGGATATATGTTTACAAATAATAAACTGTTACTTTTTGATGGAATGCAAACATGAAGAAGGAAGCATTAACTCAGACCAAGCCTAAATACGTCTGCGCAAGCCAAGTTCTGTATGTTGGCCCGTCCTCTGTCCATCTTTTCTGCACAGTCCAATCCCTTCGTCCATTTAAGAGTTCTCTTGTTTGAGAAGGCCAGTATAGGCAGAACATTAAGTATGCGATATGACTGATTCATTATGAAATTCCTGAAATTTTGTAGGTCACCTTTACAGCTACCTCTTCACTAATTGTTTAGATTTTCCAGATCTTGGAGTCAGTATCAGACCACAAATATAGCGACAGGATATAAACAGAAGTCAGTCTCTATTTTGAATGTGTAAGATGCAAGTGACTGGAGATTCAGAATAAAATTTTGCAGAAGAAAAGGAACATTTTGACAAAGTAAAAACTTAAATCCCAACAGTTAGACAGTGATCTTGCCTCATTCATTGGTGGTAAGGAACTCCATGAATTGGTATCTGGATCGTATTTCTCTCCAGAGCTTAGTGTCCCCTTGTTTTCATCCTGACCACCAAGCACAAATAAAAATCCTTCTGTAAAACAAAATGTAATATGATCTTAAAAAAAGGACTCACACCTGTATACTGAGCAAGACAACGTGACTGGTGAGCTGTACCCTGGAATTCGCTAAGAGATTCAGACCAGTCACAGGTCAAACTCTGGACTGGAGAAGGTAAAGCACATATTTATACCCCGACTCAAGCCTACCCCTGCAGATACTCTTCAACATATTCAGTGATGCAGCAACTAGAATTTACTTAAAACATGAAATACTCCTGCAGAGACAGATGCAGCAGATTCCCGCAAAATGTTGCGGGAATAGTGATTTTAAGACACTCAGATGACAGGGATTTTCACAGAATCAAGTAATGTTCTGGGCAGACAAAGGGGAAGCATGAAATAACCCCAGTGCAGTCAGTCTTAAAGAAAAAATATTATTATAAGCTGTATCTCAGATTTTGAGGCACTGGTAAGTTTTCATAATATTGACTTTACAAATACAAAGTTCCCCTTTACCTGCTGACAATACTCCATGATTGATCCTTGGAATACTCATAGGAGCAAGTTCAATCCAGAGCTGTCTATTGGGATCATAAAGAGGACACATACACCGCATCACTGAGGTTGGTTTCCGTGATCTGAACACAGGGTGGGGAGGGAACAAACAAAAACAGAAAGACAAGACAGAGTTTTACGAGTTCATTGGTAACAACTTGTGTTCGAAACTTGCTTGCTCATGTTTTAGTACGTATTCATAAAGCGTGGCATTTCCCTGGTAAGGAAAAGACCCCCCAAACCAAACGTGTGTAAACTGAGCTTTGTACAGACTGGAGACATCAGAAGCAGATGCACTTTATTCGTGCTGTATCTGCCTGCAACGTTTTTCATGAAGGAACTTTGAACAAACTAAAAAGAACTGACAGGGAGTATTAGTAATGTCTTCAGTAAAGCGATCCACAAACTGATGTGCAAAATATTATTTATTTTATTACAATTCTATAAAAAGCAAACATCTAAGTGCTAAACTTATTTAAACAGGACAAAACCCTGCCCTCTACTGCAGGGGGTACTCAAGAAAAGAAAGGGATTATTGTGTGGAACAGGAATTTTCACCCGGCATCTCAGATGCATCACTAATTACTTTTTTTTGGATCCACAGCTACTATAAACACAACAGTTTAAGCACGCATTCATTATTTTTAAGATTTATTATAGATGCTGTTCGGATCATTAGAAAAGTGTTTCTCCAACGTTCTGTGCTTATTTTGAGTAAAGCCTATTCAGTTAAAAAAAAAAAAAAAACAAAACAACAAAAACCAGCCAACACTTACTGAACAAACAACACATCCTACTCCAAGTCTATTACATGTTGAATGTCAGAAAATTACCACAAAATAACTATTCATTGCTGAATCATTCACCAAGGTATTTTAGGCGTGTCTGACCAACTTAAAAACAAACTCAAATGACAGAGTAATAAGCCCATTAGGTGCACATACTCTCTCCACACTGTGTTTTCAGACGTGCCCTGGATGCTAGGCACTTGTATTTTTACCAGCTGTGACGACCTGTGATGCCACTTCACACTTACACTCGTTCTTCCCCACCAACGGTCACTATACACTCCGAGTAACCCCGGGGCTTGAAGGAGGCCAGCATCGCCTCTCCCTGCTGGGGCGGCGTCAGGGGAATATTGTTGCATTCCTTGACGATCTCCCGTACCAGCGGTTCACTCATCATCTGCTCACGTAAATACGCTGCGTCCAAGCCCGAAACCCACACCGCTGACATGACATCCTTCATGTGAACCTACAGAAAGAGACAAATGCCAGAAAATCCCCCAAACTTTACAGAACAGCATTAAGGCACTCGTACATATAGATGCTTCTATATTTATCAAAAACTTCTTGAGTATTTTTGATATTTGCACATAACAAGAAAATCTACAACACAATGTTATTAAGAAAATGCATCAACTCTTCAAAGTTTCACTACAAAGGTGCTACTTGCTTTCTCTCTACAAAAACAAGATTATATCATCAAATGCCAAAAAGGTACTTTTTTTCTTAATGCCTATTAAATAATAAAGACAGCAGATGATACATCATCAACACAGCTTTCACCCTTTTACTGCAATTCCGCTGTCTGCATTTCAGGCAAAATTCCACTAATTCTATAAGTGCAAGATTAGCCCTGAAATAAACGGATCTATTTTAAGTTCCCACCGATTACAATAAACCCACTGATTTGGGCCACATTCAAAATATAAACATTTGGATGTCCTGACCTTTCTCGATTCTGAATCATGAGAAATCCACCTAATCACCGCTTCAAAGACGTATCTTTCATTTCCAACATTGAGCTTTTCCATCGACAGCACTTCTTTCAGTTTTTGAGGAGTCAGTTCCAAGAATTCCTCTGTGCTGCTGACATCTCGAAAGTGAGTTTCCAGATACTCTGAGGCAAGGTAGTGAACATGATGCAAACAATAGTGCAGTGCAAAGTCCCGAATACCAATACAGTTCTCAGCAGCTATGCAACCTTCTAAAAACTCACAGCAGAGAGTTTTTAAGTCTGTAAGCAGCAGGAGATCAGCTGCCTGTACCACATCTTGGATAGTTTCTTCATTTAGCCTGATCTGCAAGAATTAATTTAGAAGTTATAGCTACTATCACTCATTTGTTTCATGACATGTCCACATTCATTACACTCATTCTCAGTGGCTGAAAGATGGAGTATTAATACCAGCGTAAAAATTACGAGAAATTGATATGACTGCTACACATTTATAAATTCACATAGGGATGGAAAGGCATCTGCTTGACAGAAGGTGTCAAGCAGAATTTCGCGCCTGAAGTAACCATAAAATTGCTCATCTAATCTGGGAACCTAAAATTAATTTTGCTGCAGTAAATAAATAATTTTTTAAAATGCATGTCCAGAAGAGAATTTCAAGCCACATCTGCCTTTTCTTTTTCTCCTGAAAGTTAAACTCGTTCAGCAATCGCAATCTGGTTCCGAATAAACCGGACATACCAACTTTAATTCCTGCTAAGGCTACTGGTACAAAGATCTGAAGGGGCAGGCTGCCAGCAGCAAGAGGCCGGAGAGGCGGGCAGGAGGGTCAGTAAGGGAGGATACTGAGGTATGGTAATGCTCAGTGACGGGGTCTCAATCTCCATTGCTGACAAACCAGTTCTCTTCTAGAGGTGCCAAAGACTGCATGTTTTAAAGCAGGTTACTGAAGGTAGCCACAAATTTTAATACAAGCATTTAATACAAGCATTTGACATTGACTCTTGTAGAGTCCTCCCCCACTGCACGAGAAGAGCAGAGACAACTCTTGCAGAGCATATTGCCTCTATTTCACATGCACAGCCCCGCTGTGATATATCGCTTTGCGGAACCTTTATCACAAAGCTTTAAACCTCAACAGGTTTATCTTTCAGGATAGCAGTGTTAAAACCCAGGTTATTTTGCCAAATAGTTCAATTTCCATCTAGGTTTTTTTTAATACCATACCTGCCCACTGAAGATGTAATCTAGTATCTCTTTCATGATATCAACAGATATCCCTTCAAGTTCAATCTTGTATGTTGAGCCATCATCCTTTGGAGGATTATAATTCAATTTTGTTCTAAGAGAGAAGAAAAGGAAAAAAAAAGCTCATAACCTGGGCATTGCTTGTTCTCAGTTTTCTGAAGAAACACATGCTAGCTATGGATCACTTGAGCTATTACAGAGATGTTAAAACCTTACAACATGATGTGAAAACTGTCTCTCTTGAATTAGCATGAAAAGGACGTACGTATGGTCTCTAATATCGCTCATCACATTTCCAAACTGAACAAATACGTTAGCCTTGCAAGCTACCTATGGCATCAAAGAGCCAAAGTAATTTTTTCCCAGCTCGTTCATCACAAGCAGTGAAAAACTTCAGCTTGGAACTCCAAACAGAACAGCGGCTCTGCTGACTGATGAAACACAAGAATTTGCTTTGATAAAGGTGGGAAAAAACCCCAAAACAATAATAAAAAAACCCAAACACTTTACCAAGAAAAAAATAATTACAGTGAGCAGACGTGATCAGAATATACACTGGCAGCACAAATACTTGGATTGCATTACCATTTTGTGGAGTTTATGATGTTATCAGCCTAATGCTATGCCCGGCTGTAACTGAACTGTGCGCTCACAGTTGTAGGAAACAGGCCATGTGCTGCTCAGCCGAGCTTTAAATATTCATCTACATCAGTGGACGCTTCACTTATGAGCAATTTCTTCAAAAATACCAGGAACAGTTTGATGTGCCTTTGAATAGAATGGAGGGCGTCTGGGAGACAAAGATGAGAAAGTAACAGTAATAATAATGACACAGCAGACGGCTTTGGTTTCCATCATCTGTTAGTACAAACGCTTTTTCCAGGAAAGACAACTTTAAGCGGAGCAGTGTTCACCAGACTAGCGAAAACAGCCACAACAGCTAATAAAATAGCATTTTCAACATCTTTTTTCCATGCTTTAGGCAACCAAGGATACATTACATAAAGACCAGAAAACTTGTTTCAGTGCCTCTCTTGTGTGTATACGTAGAGATCTGTATCACAGCACGTTTAAATAGAAGCCTTTAAAAAGGTTTTTGTATTAATTTTAATATATCCTTAAATAGAATTAGCTTCTTAATGTGAAAAGCTGTGGCTTTGCTAAGCTGAAAGCATCCAGATTGCTGCAGTCTTTCGCTATCCACACTCATACTAAGTAAATACATAAATAGGACTTAGCTAAGGGCAGATTCTGCTTCACTTACTCATATCAGAATAAATAGTTTCTCACAAAATAAGATATAACTCATATCAAATAAAATCCTAGTCTACAAGGAGCTATTTTTAAGCATGAATAAGGATGGTAATTTTAGCCCTGAAGTTAGTCATATTTGTGGTCGTCTTTTCACATTGCTTTTCTACGCTGCAAGAGACACATCACCAGTGAGCAGAACGCTCTGGGAGAGAACGCTGCTCCGATGCGTGACTGTACGAGGGCTGAAGCTAAAGCTGCTTCGCTCCGTGTTTGTACAGCACCTAGCACAAGTTATAATACAAATATTAACAACAACAACAACATAACATGGATTAGGAAATTGTTTATTTCCTAACACTTGAAAGGAGATTAGAAAAATTCAGCCTGTTCTCTAAACAGTCTACGTGACTTCCAATAAGACACGTGCTGCAATAGCAGATGCTGATTTGCAGCTTGTCAGCTGAAAACTTCTAAACCGAATGCACGGCTCAAGCAATCCCCTGCAATGTGCATCTCGACTCACGCCACCCTCGCCCGCGTGCAATGTGCGTTCTTCGTGCCTACCACTCCAAATGAATGAAGGAGCACATACACACAGAGTAACATGCGCTTGCAACTCTAACCCAGTATCGAGGTTTCTTTACACACATTTTCAAGCCTATCCAAACTACCTCAATTTTAATTATGCTGACTATGCTCGAGTTTTGGGTTTCTTGGTTTGTAATGAAAGCTGTGTCTTGTTTCCTGGGATGAAACTGTGTTTTCTTTTAATTTAACATAAAATGTATCAAGGTTTGCAGTGCCTAGCTTCCTTCACCAGAAAAGAGAGACCGTCAGATGGTATCTATATTTCATACGTATCAGGTACCTATGAGTAGCTGGCATGGTCAAATACACAGCGGTAACTACACAGAACCTGGGTAGTCCAACACATTGTGGGGCTTAAAACAGATGCAAGGCATATAATAAACACATTTCATGCCAGCACTAATGGAGAGATTATGGAAAGGACTAGCGCTACTTATCACTAACTTTCATCTTAGCATCCCCTGTACACACCCAAGCTAAACCACCTCTTGCATGGACTTTACACCGACACCTCCTAGTAACGAGAAAGTGTTGTTCAGAGGTTTTGGGTCTCATCAGGCTAATGTTCTAATTACTGTGTACTTTTTACAATCAACAGTTGTTAACCTGAAAAGAAATAAGCCAAGCACTGATCCAAGCCCAAAACACAAACTCAAAGCAGAAAAATAACCTTGAGAACAAATCGATTGATTTCCAAGTTACAGATACTCCTATGTGGGCAAATATTCACCTTATGCAAATGCATTCCAGTTCAGACTACGCTTTGTTCCTGTCATCTGTTCTGAGAGGCAGTAGTTATCCACCTGTCACACAACTTTAATTTGTTAGTTAATAAACTACCAGGTCATTTATTTTGGTACAAAGATTTCTGAGCTATGACACGAGAACCATTCCCAAAGGGCAGCTGGAGGTGCTCCTTGTCACTCCTGTCAAGTACTGCAGGACAGCTGCTGGCTGTTGGGAAGAGGGGAGGGAAAAAATCATGCAAGGACATATTATAACCAGGTTTGGGGCTGGAAAAGTTGAAGAGAAAATTGTGAGTCTAACGTGGAAAGAAAGCTGAAGGAGAAGAAAAAAGTAGGAGGTACGTAAGCAGAGGGCAAGGAGCCATGCCTCCTCTTGCATCACCCAGCATCAGCTGTTACCTGCACCCACACCTCGCCAGCAAACCGAGGTCTGGCACCCTTGTCGTAACACATGCAGCAGACACGACGAGAAAGTTTCAGAACACGTTTGTGCCCTGTTCAGAAAGACAGGGCGGCAGCACATTGTGAAATACTGAACCCTGGTCCTCTATCAAATTTCACTTTAGAAAAAACGTTTCTCGCTATGCTTAAGCAGAGGTTTTCCAACCTGTCAGTATCCCAGGAGGGAAGATGTTTTCCTTCCACCATGCTCCTCCTCACGGTGGTTTATTCAGCCTATGACTTGTGTGGCAGAGAGCTGGAAGTGGCCATCAGCAACCAAGGTGCAGAGATGTGCCCAGCTCCAGCACGGCTGCTTCTAACACATGCATGTGACAGCTTCCGACTCCAGACAACACTTCTAACTACGTAAAAGCACTTTAAAAGTTGCCAAACCACAGCAGAAAAGGCTGCCTTAATCTTCCTTAATTCAGATGAAACACTGGAACATCAAGATTTAGAAGGAAATAAAATTCCCCCACAGCCAACCAGAAAACCCATTAGCTGGGAGCAGAGCACAGCCGCGACGCATACCCAGCTGGGGGAAACAAAACAAGGCAACTTCGTCCTGTTTTCTTAAGTAATTTAATTTTGAGCAGCTTGACTCCATACATGTTTTAAAGGGAAGTTTTCCATTTTTTTAATTACAAAGATCATAATTGTAAGTTGCAATTGCTTCCATTTACATAAACAGTGTTCTACAAATGCATAACATTCACCCCAACTTCTTGTACCTGGTCAGGAAAACTGCTTGGCACATACTACACCTTCAGCAAGTGGCATAGGAACAACGGGGTTTATGTTGTGTTTTGATGTTGTGTGTCTGTGTGACAAATTTAGAATCTGCTCTTCCACATCACTTAAGGAATACAATCCTAATGAGTCAGCTCAAATGACACTACATAAGGCAGAATGAGGAAAAAAATTCCAATACCTTTTCTGTATACGTAAGCAACAATATAAGCAAGGTAAATCGTTAAAATGAAAACGAGGGCTTAAGAACAAATGTTGATATTGCTAGGAGTCACAATTCACATCTAATGGCATAAAACAGATGCAAGTAATTAAAAAAAAAAACCCCCAACATATAAATTTAAGACCGTCCACAGTTCTTGTTAAAATTAAGATGGATTTTCCAACTTACCTCTCATTTTAAAAGAACAAAACAAAGAAAAACACATAGTCATACTTCCAAGCTTACAGCCAAGCCCATGTGGGAGCACTGTTGTGGGACAGTTAAGATGCATGGGAAGCACATGGAGAAAGGGTTCGTATGTCTGAAAACTTGTTTTTCCTATGTTTTACAGTTGACAGTTTACAAGAGAGGGAATAACAACTTAAAAAAACCCAACCAAGCAAAACAACAACAAAATGAAAACCAAAACAAGTAATTCAGCTGCCACCAACAAAGTTTGCTTTCCTGAGTCAGATATAATTCTGCGGGAATACTTTTATCTTTAAAACCTCTGCCTTATTTGTTAACTATTATGAAAAGATAACCCATGTATTTCAACAATGGTGACATAAGTTATAAAGAGACCAACAGTACAACTCTTGGAATGCTTTAATCATTAGAGCGCCGGTATATTGGTACCTAAACAGGTAAAGAAAACATCTGCCTGCAAAGATTGCACCTTTGTAAATGAGAATGCTCTAGACCACATTCACCTCAAGCAGGTTTACGATATTTAGAGCGAACAACAATTGAAAAATCTGGGAAACAAAAGACTGACGCTTTGGTTTTGATGCTTTGCAACACAAAACTTTTGCCTGCTCTCACATCATCGCACCGCAAGCGACGCAGCTCCCTGACCTACTTACGCAGCTGTAGCAGGGTGTCAGAACAAAGCTGCAGGAGACAAGAGGGAAACACTTGGCTCTTTGAAAGGAGCTGTCTTTCCAAATTAATGATTCTGCCCCAGATTAACCATAAGAGCTAGTCTACACAAGCCTTGCCAATATTGCCACGCTAGCAAACCTTAGCGTTAGAGCAGCAACGCCATCGTTCCAAACCAAAGAGTAATAAAATTGGGGTTTGATGATATATCCTTTACCTGCACCAGTGTTTTGGCCTTCTCCAGAGAGCATCAGCATTTTAAAATGAAGTTCAACGTCCAACAAACGTTTCCAGCAAAGACATGCACCAAACCTAAAACACGCTCACAGGGATGACTCAGTCCCAAAAATGGCAAGCGAGTACTTTGAGATTTTGCATCCGTAAGGAGAAAAACTTCAAAATTCTGCTTTTGATGCAAGCATGAGGTCAACTTAGTCTCCTCCTGATCTGGGCTTCCTTATGTGCAAGTCTTTAGAGTACAAGCTTTCCATGTTAAATCTAATTAAGTACTACTTAGGACTGACCGTTTTAATGGTGAAGTTCTTTCATTTGTCCGCATTTATCCCTGCAACATTTTCTCCCATGAAAGCTGGTCTTTCTGCATGCAAAAAACTTTAATAATCACATTATTAACCAGGTCAGACACAAAACCATGATGCAGCAGTTCACTCCACCCACTGCCATCCTCCAAAAAGATATTTTACAACCAAATCAGAAGGTTTCCTTTGAGGTCGCACCCTGGCCTTTAGCAGCACACATGAAAGACAGTCTTTACCACACCCTGCAAAGGGTGCCAGCTCTCAGAGGATTTTGGCTATGCCTCTCGTATGCCTGTCTTCTTAAGATTATCTGTAACTGCAACTTCAGGTCTCAAGGCAAAGTAGTCCACCTAACAGCTCAGCACAAAAACCTGCAGAAGCTGCTTTGCTTGGTTTAAGAGAAACAACAACTAGGAATAACTTTTATTTTTTCATCTGTTGGAAAGTTTAAGTCAGGCAAAAATGTAAGGCTTTACCCCCACCCCGCTAAGAAAGAGAACAAAGCAATTACTTCGGCAGCAGCACAGGAGACGTGTACAGGGCTCATGGGCTTCGCTCAGTGAAGAGCTTGTTTACCCTGAAAATCCAAAGTTACTCTGACTACACTGAGCTCATTCAGAGCTAGATTGTAATCGAAATTGGAAATCTACCCTCAACCAGCACGTCTTGCCTAAACATGCAACTTAGCCCTAAGTAGACAGAACACACAGCTGATGAACACAGTCCCAAGAACGGACTCTTGGAGCTTCTCAGCAGCAGCAGGTACCTGCCGTTTCATTTTACTTCAGGTTTTTTGTTTTTTTTTAACCAACTTGGAAAACAACCAACCAACTACACCAGCTGAGCTTACAAAGAAGTCAATTACAAGCAACGCAGATGAGCTGGCTGTTGGGCACCGATGGTCCATGCCATGCACCTCGTACGCGGCGTGAAGCGCAGCTCGGCCTCATCTATGCGCGTAGCCAAGTAGACCGGGT